AGTTAAGTCATGATTTTTAAAGGTAGCACCCCGAATCAGTTTTCGCAAAGTAAAAATGGGTTTTATTTTTAAAGACTTTGCGAATTATTGCGCGCTCTGATTTTACAATAAGGAGGGGTGTTACAATTGGTATCAGAGCACGTTTCTGCGTCTCTGATAAGTTTTTCAGTCAGTCATTTTTCAGAAAAACCTGAACCTTCATGCTCACACCCCGACGACGACATGTAAGTGCTGATTCAGTTTTTCAGTTATAAACATATTACTTTGTCTATGCGCAGAATTAAGGATCAGGACTTTAGTTAAGATGCTCAAATAAGGTTCAGTCTTTAGAGTTCGGACATGACTCTAGAATTCAGGGCATTCAGATATGACTCTAGACGTTAGGATTTTCCTATATGACTCTAGAGTTCTTCAGGATTCACGTCAGTAATTATCTGCCATTTTTGGCAACTCGTCAAGAGATCTGTGTGCCTTAATAATCAGTCAGTAATGTTATCATGTATTCAGTAATGTTCAATTTTCTCAATGTTCAGATGCCGCCACGTAGGGAGCCCGATCATCAGGTTCCTACTCAGGCTACGGTAGTCGCTCAGTTCCGCGACTATCACGCCGAAAAGTTCTCAGGACAGGGAGACCCCCGCATCGTTGATGAATGGATTCAGGGGTTGGAGTTCATCTTTGAGGTTATGGAATGCCCCGTAGATACCGCGTAGTTTGCGCTCAGCTTCAGCTCACTGGTGATGCAAGGCTCTGGTGGAACGCCTACTGGAGCATGCGTCCCGGTGAAAAGGCGGGTTGTACATGGGACATGTTCAAGGAGTTAGTCCGCGACAAGTACTACCCTTCCTACTATCGGGCAGAGATGGAGCGCCAGTTCTTAGCGCTTCAGCAGGGCACTCGTACTGTTGATGAGTACGAGCGAGAGTTCACCAGACTTGCAGGTTTCGCACCGGATCTTGTTCGCACGGAGGCCCAGAGAGCTCAGCGATTCATTGACGGACTTTACCCAGCAGTCCGTCACAACATAGTGGGACACGGGACTCAGACCTATGCTCGTGCCGTTTCTATCGCCCAGGAGGTGGACGCTAGTATCAGGAGGGAGGCAGTTCGTGATCGTGCCCAGCTATCCGCCCCAGCTCAGCCATTTGCAGTTCCACCAGCTCTACCAGCCCCTCAGCCAACAAAGGAGAAGAAGAGGAAGGGAAAGGGTGCACAGACTGACCGGAGCACCCGACAGAGACAGCAGCCGATTCCACCGTGCCCGACTTGTGGTCGACTTCACCGGGGAGAGTGTCGTGCTGGACAGGACATCTGTTACTACTGCCAGGAGCCGGGACATTTTGCGAGTCGTTGCCTGAAGAAACTTCAGCAGCAGCCTAAGCAGCCACCACAGCAGCAGCAGCCACGACAGCAGGCACAGAGGCCGCCTCAGCAGCAGCCGCAGCAGAGGGGCAGGCAGCAGGCCAGGGTTTACGCAGTCGATCAGGCAGAGGCAGCACAACAACCAGGTACTATGTCCGGGATGGTTGTTCTCAATAATATTCCTGTATTCGCGTTATTCGATACTGGAGCGACGCATACCTTCATATCACGCCGATGTCTCGATGCCATCGGAGTTCACGCCGTTACCGCTGTCGATCCTCTCGAGGTGAGTTTAGCCTCGGGACGAAAGATAGTGACCTCAGCTAAAGCCTCAGATCTTAGCCTTTCCATCGGCGGCCGAGTATTGACTGCCGACGCGTTTGTTCTCGAGATGAGAGACTTCGATCTTATTCTCGGGATGGATTGGCTATCTTTCTATCACGCAGACATCAGATGTCATGACCGGAGATTATTCTCTATCTTCCGGGAGACGAGTCGATTACTTTCTTCGGCTCCAAGAATCGTTCACTGCCTCATGTTATTTCGATGGCGAAAGCCACTAAGTTATTGCGACGAGGCAACTGCCAGGGTTATCTGGTAAGCCTTGTCGAGGATTCTCAGAAAGCGCGGACACCTCATGATGTTCCAATCGTTCGCGATTCGTGGACGTATTCCCAGACGAGCTTCCAGGAGGACCGCCCAACCGTCAGGTGGAGTTTTCTATCGATCTTATCCCAGGGGCCGGTCCAGTATCCAAAGCCCCATATCGCATGGCGCCTAAGGAGTTACAGGAGCTTAAGACCCAGATTCAGGAGCTGTTACAACTCGGTTTCATCCGACCGAGCGTGTCACCTTGGGGAGCACCCGTTCTCTTTGTTAAGAAAAAGGACGGATCTATGCGCATGTGTATCGACTACCGGGATCTTAACCGGTTGACGGTCAAGAATAAGTATCCGCTTCCCAGGATCGACGACTTATTTGATCAGCTGAGGGGAGCCTGTGTATTCTCGAAGATTGACTTGCGATCAGGCTATCATCAGCTGAAGATTAAGGAGTCAGACATCGCTAAGACCGCTTTCAGGACTCGTTACGGTCATTACGAGTTCGTCGTCATGCCTTTCGGTCTTAGCAATGCGCCAGCTGTTTTCATGGACCTCATGAACCGTATCTTTCATCCCTATCTCGATCAGTTTGTTATTGTCTTTATTGACGATATCCTTATCTACTCGAAGATCCAGAAGGAGCACGAGGAGCATCTGAGGGTGGTTCTCGAAACCCTCAGATGAGAGAAGTTGTACGCCAAATTCTCCAAATGCGAGTTCTGGCTTCAGCGAGTATCCTTTCT